GAAGTCAAAGTTCAGCACTGCACATCAGAAGAGAACTTAGCGGATATATTCACTAAAGGCCTACCAAGACCATTACATGAGTATCTATCTGCAGGTATTCTAGGAACTCAGAATTGAGGGGGAGTGTTGGGATAGCAATCCCGAGCGAGTATGAGAACGTACTCGAAGATATGATGCCAGTCAGCAGCAGCTGACTTGGATCGTGATCCAGACTTATTTAGTATCTCGTAGAAAGATCTCGAAGTAATACAAAATGTATTTAAGTAGAATGTTTCTCTCTCGAGAGGCTAATTCTAGTTCTCTGTTACATTACTCTGCTCTCTACTTACAACACTCCCTTTCATTTCCACACTTGTAGTCATGCATTACACTTGACTTTCGAAATTATAGAATGCTCAGCATGAAAGTTCTCATGACAGAAGTCGCCCTTTTGTTTGAAAGATCCAAGAAGGTGGATCTGTTCATGACATTACTTTCTCCAGCCGCGTCTTTGTCCGATCACCCCATGTTTGCTGGATCTCCGCCCGCCGCGGTGGTGAATGCTCGCCCTTTGTACCACGTGACGTTACCTGTCAGATACTGCTTTCACCATTCTCCCAAGACTATTAGTCATGGCTCTTCCTACAAACAGGGATGCCACTGCTAAACCGGTGAACACATCCCAGGAAACAAGGTCTCTTTGGTGGGCCATCATGACGGGGAATGGAATTTGCAACACTTTCCATCTTCCTTGATCCAGCATTGAAGCTATGTCTGTAAATACTTACAGCGTCGAATAGATTGAGCAGCAGCTGAAGCCTGAAAGCGGCGAGAGTTTCCAGGGGTGGCTAATTTGCCATATGGCCAACTCAGAACCATCTCCCAGAAGAACGGGGAGTCTTGGTTAGACTCGGGCATGCTATGGTACCGCCTTCTTTGTCAGAGTGAAGGCTGAACATTGTACTGGCCGTTGTGGTCACCGCTCTTGACGTATCGCGCTCGTCCCATCCTATTGGAATTTTCTTACGTTTGCGCGCATGGCTCTTACCGCCAACATCAAAGCAGAGTATATGAGAAAAAGCTTTTCTCATAATAAAGGAGAGATCAATAAGACATATGTGATATGAAGACGAAGTACAGCGATCACTAAAGGCCGGAACCATGAGAAAAAAAAATCCAATAAATCCGTAAATTCAAATATGTAACATCGCCGCGGAACGCAGGACTATCTTAAAGATCTTCACTGGGCGTGGCGTCGTATGTGGGGCAGAGATCATCCCATTGACCTTCGGGATTGAAGTCAGGACGACACTCGCCCACAAAGCAGAAGAATACAACACACCAGTAGGATGGATGGTGGAGTTCCATCTTTCCGTAGCTTCTGCAAACACAATGGCGAATCCGCTGCGAAAGAGATTGTCACCAAGTCAGCAAGCGGGTAGGATAAGAGGACGCACGCCTGCAAGTGCCAATCAATGTGACTACAGAGAGACGTTAGCTCACTCTCAATCTACAGTCGTGGAAGCCAACTGACCAGTGAAGGAACCAAGGTCCAGGATTATCGGTGGTGAACCGGATCGTAACATTGTCTCCCGTGGTGCCGATATTAACAACGTCCCGCCTCACAGGATTCACATAGTTGTACACGGTACTACCAGCACTTCGGACGACGTCGAAGTTGTGCTAATGGTAGCAAATTTTTGAGAACATATAGTCAACAAGAACGAACGAGAACATACCCCATGCAGATGGAACGGATGCTGGTATTAACAAGATGAGCATGGGATAACATAGCGCACAATGTATAAAGGGACTCACCCCTCCACCAATGACACCGCCTGGCATAGAAATTTCGATTGTAGAATTCAGCGGCAGAGCGTAGATAGAGCCCTCGGGAAGAATATCATTAACATTCTCCGCACCACTTAAAATCTGCAAAAGGACTGGAGTTGTCGGGGGAATAAATTGGACGCCATTGATTGTGAACGTTCCGGCGCTCGTCTGTTTGGCCGGAAGTCAGAGAAGATGGTGAAATATGAACAGAATGGAAGACATACAAAGGCGAAGACTAGATTAAGGGCGACGTCGACGCCTCCGATTTCAGGTGATCCGGGCTACATCCGGGTTAAAGCCATGGATCAGGTCAGGACATTAGACTTACGGCTCCTGGATTCTCAAGAGGCTTTCAGATTGAAGTTCGTTAGTCTAGGTGGGAATCTTACATAGGGTTAAAGGACGTACCGTCATCTGGGTCTCATTCATGCTCAGTACACTCGTGATATTTAAAATGTCGGGTTCTACATTATTGGCTCCGTTATATCGGAGGATAGCAGAGTTGATACCGCCACTAAAACCCTGTGTACCAACGCTGGGGTTGGCGCGGATCCCTTAACATGACGGCGTCAGTGGGTGCTTTCTCATACAAAGAAAGGCGGATGTACAGTAGTTACCAATCGGCTGATTCGCGTTTAGCTGGGACATGTGTCAGTAATTCTGGTATATTTGAAAGAAAAAAATGAGATGAAGAAACGAACGACAAACGAGTATCGCTGAGCTGAAGAGGAATAAAAGTTAGTTAGTCCTTATTTTCGGAACACGGCGACAAAAAGAACAAACCTGCAAAGATTTGGATTCCATCGACAGTGTACGGGACGAGATTCACACCATCTGCTTCGATAATTGTCCTGCGCATCACCGATAAATAACAGAATCATTGAAGGTGAAAAAAAAACACAGGAAATTCACATCAAGTGACTGTCAATAGAGACGGTATACGCCGCGTCACATCCGATATTGACCATCCGAATGCGATATCTACGTCGAATCCATGAGACAGACACTGAAAGACAAACAAAGAACATGTACCGTGTTCCTTGAGTGACGTTTACGACGGCTAAATCATGCGTTGGATTTCCGCTCCATCTAAGTCGCCAATCACCGTTCTGCTTCCAAATCCCAGACGTTAAATTAGTTCGTACCGTCCCATTCCGTTGATGAGCACTGCGTCCAGAGTACTACATGCTGATCATTAGCCGCCATGTCAACATGATAGGTGAGAAATAAGCTTACGGGAAAGTCAATTGTTTGGCAGGTGTGTGATACCAGTCCGACAACGTCAAGATACTAGTACTATCTGCGGCAGAGTCATGTTGCAATTCAAACAAGAAAGCGTGCTTGCGTACCATCATCAACATCGTATAGGTCGGCATGTGGATCGTTGGGGTCATAGATGACCAAAGGCCCGCGAAGGCCGTCACAGTATTGAGTAGCTGGAGTCATTGTCATTATTACATTTCATACCACAGAAAATTCATACCCAAATGAGAGTGGTACCAGAATGTTCCCGCTTGGTTAATAGGATTGAAAGTGTATAGGAACGAGTCTCCTTTCACGATAGGGCACTGGTCGAGATTAACAATGGCAACGAGCAGTTGTGAACAGATTACCTGGTCCACAAAGGCTGGACCGTCAGCCCAGCCAGTACCTTTCTGGAAGAGTCCGTGCCAGTGCTAGAGGAAGGCGCATGAGATATAAAGATCGTGTAGCAGAGAACAAGCGTACGATAGAAGTGCTCTGCAATATAGTGTTGTTATTGAGCCGATTGACGACATTGATTTTGAATGTATCGCCCTGGACAGAACCTCCGTAAGCAATATTGTAGACGAGCAGTTGAGAGGCCAACCTTGTTTCCTCTAATGAGGGTGCCATCTATCTGCGAGTTTGCTAATGCAGCGAGGCGTTCAAAGCCATCGGGATTGACGTTTCCATTGGAGATGACGAGGTCCCCCACAGGGCCAATAGTTCCCTGCCGCAGGGCGCGAGAACAGGAGAGAAGGAGAGTCAGAGTGAGCAGATAAAAGAGGGGGGAAACCATGTCGACCTGGAGAGCAAGATAGCTACTTGGACTCACTTAAAAATGTGTATGAGCACCGAGACTCGGATTATGGTTTCACACACACTCTATTGGACCTGATAGGATATTATGTGTGTGACGCTAGTACAAGGCACATTTAGAGATCCGTTGGTAAACGTAGGAAAATTTCTGCCGTAGCACCTCTAGAAAATATAATTTGCGTAAAATGAATCCAGTAAATTATAACGGGCCGCGTTGACCCGGACTGTATTGCACATGGATTAATCTGTCCGCTACCAATCGCTGGAGACGTATTTGTGTTATTGGGTCATATGAATCTGAGAGATGATGTCCGCACCTTTGGTTTACTATTTCCCAAAGACTTGGATTGTCAGTTCAAGTCACCTCCTCGGTCAATGGGAACAATGACGAGACAAGGTCATCATTAGAAAGGGAGAGGACACTCTAAAAGCAGGGGAGCCACTTCAAGATTATAACAATTGCAGCTAGTCGAACCAATTTTTGACTCTGACAGTCATAAACTGGAAACGAGCCATCGGGAACATAGAAAGTTTATCCATGACCATCTCCACGGTCTTCGCATTCTCGCGCTGAGGTCAAACCTGTTATCAGTTCACATGTAGGCTTCTGGTCACCGCGAAATGCTAGGAACGCAAATGGCATCACCTGTGATGCTCAAACAACCAAAGTATAAGGTTACACAAGGCAAATTGAGAAACATGGACCTGAATAAGGCCTTAAGTGATTATTCCAGATATGACTGAGAGGTAGAGGTATTATAGATAACCCACCCGAAAAATCAACAAGCAACCAGTCAGGTAATACCGTTCTCGAGTCCGAAATGTTCAACATCGTGCATACGCATTGACAACGCTGACTGTGTCTTTAGTAGACGCATCATTGAAGGGGGGGCTGGCAGGAGATGACACATTAAAGAAACAGTCATCATAAAATAAAGTCACACCTGAACAAAAGCTAGCTGAATATCAGGCCTCAGTGTTTGGGTTCTCCAACGCCTCTCTACCGAAGCCATTGCCTAGGTTCTATTTCAAGAAAAAGTAAGAAATCATCTAGGGGCCGTTTAACCGCCACAACAAAGCTATGTTCGGACTCGATATATTAGCTATGCAGTGTAAAAGGAGAGCAGAAGGATAGCAGTGGGAAACCCATCGTAGGTTCTGGGAAAATGATGCCAAGCCCATGATGCAATACAATGGGATGGGAGAACGCGCGTCGCCACCGTCGCGTATGGAAGAGGGTCCAGAACGTGTCGCTTATGTAAGCAAATGCGCTTGCTGTCGTCCTTTGCCGACCAGACCTGATATCGTTCACGAGTCACGAAGATGTGGGAGGCAGTTCTAAAAGAAGAGAAATACTTATCCCCGCTGACAGAACGAGATGATGGGATAGGATGATCAAAAAGCCGCGTGAGTAGCGTTTTTTACTTTATCTATGTCAGAAGGCACTGCTTATCTTCCAAAGGGGACAACAAGGTTGCATAAATCTCTCATTCACTTATGTAACATTCGTCAACTGATATCAAACTAGGCAATTTAGAGACACTCCCATTCAAAGGAACGTTGTTCCCCCAGACCTGCTGATCTGGAAGGTCACTGGGACGGAAACTATTTCATTCACGGACCTAGCTGATCCTTGATCGCTGTAGGTTAGGATGCTCTCACAGCGTCTGCGCGTGATATACAGGCGCCTGGGAAACACGAGGTTTGCATACCCATTCACTAATGGTGATAGGCTTGTTATGAATGGTGCCTTTGTGTCTCTATCTGTGAACTGTAAGCCTCTTTCTTCTGAGCGTTTCTTTCTGAGACACTTACGTCGTAAAAAGGACCACATGTGAATAGCCCTATACAAATACCACTTTTTTTCTTTCACAGCCTAAAGGGGAGTGTTTCGGTGGACGGAGGCATCTCGTAACGTCGTTCGTTATACCATCTAAAATACCGCGTAGATGCAGATCAATGTTACGTATTTTTTGTGCCAACCAATGTCGATGAGAAGGATATATACCGTCCATATGTCATGGCAAGGTATCATTGACTATAATTCATACCGTAGCAACCATAGCTAAGGGCGCAATACAGACCCAGGACAATCTACTCTGCTGGATTCGTCTACGGTCCTTGAGAAAAGAAATACTTTTAAATCGACGCAGCCAAAGGCCTTGTATGTCCCGACTGGTGAGCAAACGAAGATGGGCAACGGTAGCCACTAACGTAGTGGATTACAGAGGCTGGTACGGTTGTGAACGCGCACATAGCAGGCAGAAACCACTTTTTTGTTATTCCAGATTCTGGGCGACCATCCGTACGGGTGGACTTCCTACCGATTACGTCTACGTTTCGGGGTCCTTTCGCCGCGTCATACTCAAACAAATGATTGGCTACCTTTATTCGCATATATTAGTTCTAATCGTATTTCTGATGGTCCTCAAGTAAGACAGCAGGCGGCCCGGATAGCCGAGATTGAATTCTCCTTCCCACCACCATCAAGGTAAGTATTTACTACGCTCCTTCAATGTCGGAGCACTATCTATCATCGATGAGCTCCATCATGATCAATCAGACGGGTTAGACCACTCACTGAGTGTCCTCAAATCCTGCAGTCTCGCCTGTAAACTCTTCATTCCTAGAACTAGACATCATCTCTTGCGAGATAAAACAATTAGCTCAAATCTCCAGCGCAAAGAATTCCTTGACCTATGTCGTTCCTTACGCCACGTTTCGTCCTCACCATCATCTGGACCGTTAACCACTGTCTAGCGCATACGATGTCCACCAGGACGGATTTCCCTGTTCTTCTGCGCACGCTCGCTAATCTAAACGAGATCAAGCTCTCTGGGATGAATTGGAAATCGCTTTTTCAGAAATTCATCGATGCCCTTTTGACGCGTTGCTTCCAGTCCATCACCCTAATGCACACCCATTTCACCGATTCCAATGCTTTCTATTCATTGTTGTCTCATTCACCCAGCCTTGGCCAAATCTCCTGCTGCATAACGACGATCGATAACATCAGCCACAGATCACCGGACTGTCTCTGCGTAAAATGAGGTAGCTACCAGATATGGTTTTGTCACCCACTCTGTCGCCGCTGAACCTGGATAGCCTGCGCGTTCAGGTCACCGCTTTGATCTGGCACGGCGTTTCATGGATTTAATCACGCATTCCCTCCAAGTTCTTCACGTCTCACCATTTAATATGCCACCAGAAAGTTTCAGTCTCCTGCTCTCCAGCCACCATCATTCGCTAATGATATCTCTACAGATTGGTCTTTTTTGCCTATTCAACACTTGAAATCTATCACCATTGAGATGTTACATTATCACCTTGGTTTCATCATTTTAACTACTGAACTTAGTATCTTCGATTGGTGGATCAGACATTTCGAGAGCTACCCTGCCCTGCAATGTTCGCTCGTGCACTTCCTCGTTCATGTGTCCACATCCAGTGTTCGAGCGGGCGCAGACTAAACCGCTTGGAGGGCACTCGATATTGCTTTATCGCAGACTTCTATCCGCTCGCTCCTTGTTGAGCTATTGGTCAGCAACGCGATCGAAAATGTAACCTTGGGACACGCCCAAATCAAGCTCGTTACCGAGGAAAACCTTCCCAACTTGATGAGTCGCAAAATTGCGAGGGTTCAAGTGGGGTCGTACAATGGTATGCGGGCTATTTATATCTGTTGAGTTGCGCGAAGTGATTTATTGGCTTTCACAGATAATAGAGGCAGAAATTATCTTGCCGACTGCGTACAAATCCCTTGAACAATTCTGCATATGAATGTCTTTTTGAGTCACACCCAAGTCCATTGGTAATAATCTCGATGAATCGGGAACTCGGACCGGACCTTTAGCATGCCCGCATCCACGTTGTCCTACACTCAGTCCTCCATTTCGATAGAAGCCAAGTCATCTGAGACTGCCTCCACTTCGTGAAGATGCACAACTCGCCGCCTCGGAACATATATAATAAGCGCGCTCTGATGCTCGAAACATTAATTTTATTACGTATAGAATCTGACTCGACAGATGACAGATGCGTCATTTTCGCCAAGAAGATCCCCCATCCAGGGACGCGTCGATCTTCCCACCGGGGATGATTGCTATCAGCTTGGGCTGCGACGAGGAGCCGTATCTATCTCTTCTCGACTCTTTCATTGACACTCTTTACTGGTATATAGATTTGCTCCGGTAGCGCGAGCTGACCTTTGGGGTAAAGGTTTCTCCACCCCTCCTCACTTGGACCCTGTGACCCACATTTGAAAATGTGCCTCCATGGTGATAGGCGCCTCTCCCGCAGGATTCGTCTTGGGACGCTGTGGCGTCGGCGCCAACACATATTGCTTGTCATAGTACACAGTTGCAGACCAGCCGGCGAACGCGGCGTCTACATTGTTTCCATCCTCCCGTGATTTCCTCATAGAGTCATCTCCGCCAAGCCTCGCTGCCGCACCGATATATAAAGGACGTAATTGAACCTCACTGTTCTTAAGCCCCCACCCTGAACGACTTTTCCACAAAGTAAGCGCCTGGCCCCCTTTAGCGTTCAATGTCATGACGCATGACTTTCTCCGCAGATATGGCTGCTATTTACACTGCTAATGCCTCCAATGCTGGCGAAGACAATGGTAATCATCTCAGCCGGTCTGTGCTGACAGCCATCATAGTATGCACCAGTGCGTTCAAGCGTCCCCTTTCCCTTTTGATTGTTATCAACCCTGTCTATAGTGCTCTTCCTTCTCCTGCTCCTAGGGTTCACCCTAGTGTGGCGTTACCGTAGGACCTTCCAACGTCGTTCACCGAATACCACGGCGACCACTGACTTTACTAGACGCTCGCCCGTCTCATTTCCAGCTCCCGCGTACGTTCCTGGGCGGAAGCTCTCCCCCTCGGAGCGCTCCCACGGATAACCATCTATGAAACTCTGACGACGGTGACTGCTGACCTCACCGTACTTCTTACATTCCGGTCTGCGCCGACACGATACATCCTCTTCATGGACATCTCGCACATTATATACCGCTATTGAACGCCTTCGTCGTTGTCATTACCTTGAAAATTCTTATCCGTATCAGCATTCCACATACACATTCATTCATGTCCTATCCAATAGTTTCATCATAATATATCATTCGTACGTACCATTTAGACATTGTCTAGCATAAATACACTTTAATTATTCATACCCAGCGACACGTTCCACTTATTGGCTCATCAGACCCGGAGCGCTTAGGATGGAGAGAAGTGATGGGAACTGCCAAGTATTCGCCAAGTCGCTAGGCCGCTGGTAAACGAACGTTGGCTATCGAATGTCTGCAGGATTATAATTTCGTTACCCTTGCAAAAATTGAGCAACATCAGCCTGACTTCGGACCCACGGTACCTGTCCACTTGGACTTAGGCGTTGAGGTCGCGTTAAATGCGATTCGCTCCGTTTCTGACCTTTTGAACAATCCATCAAATCGTCACAGGATTGATGTGAATGCGCCTGGCTGAAGAAGTGACGATGAGAGCGTCGATTTCAGATGTCACAGGACTGAAAGTGTGCTGTGTCCTGACATGAGCCAATCTGGAATGAAAGCCCGACAGAGCTGCTGTGCCATTCATTTACCAGATACGACATATCGAGACCGAAGAAATTTATATGCAGATGCGAATGACGCGTGGAAATGCGTTTATTGAGAGAACTGGAAGTTTGCTACGAGTCGGAGGCGTCAGAGAGTACAGAAGCGTTTCGTCACGTGAATTACAAGAACCTGAGGGCCGGTTAATGGGATTCATCAGAAGGGTCATTCACACACGTAACTCCAACCTCCATCTGCATCGTGTCCTCGCCACTAAGCAAAGTACGAAACGAATTGCCTCAAGAGCTCATGGGTGTGTCATAGCCGAAATACACCTGCTTCCTATCCCTCTCAAGGAACGACGCTCCATCCTCCTGTCATGTTCACTCGTCAGTAGATCGTGGGTTCCTCGCAGTCGGTACCATGCCTTGAAAGGCCTCCGTGTAATTCCCTACTACCATGCCACGATCCTGGAGATCTGAGCGGATCCAAACTGCACCATCCTTGACCATGTGCGTGCCTTTAATATAAAATAAACAATGTTCGGATGTAATAGAACTCGCATCACGGATGCGAGAATTAATTATCTCTCCTCTTCGTTTTAGCATCGACGAAATTGCCTTTTTTTAGTCTTTCATGTGGATGTTATAGGATTCCCTCCAGCATCCATCCCTACAGCCATCCCTCCCAACTGCCTCCATCGCCTTACGACGAAGTTTTGGAAGTTCAGAGGAGAATACGCCACTGAACAAGAGTTTGCGAAGGCGCAGTTTTGGTATAATGGAATAAAAGCCATGCTGGATGTTGTTCCGTTCTGTGACACTCCCAGAGGCAACCTCTGCAAGGAACAGAGTGATTTAAGGATGCGTTCTGAAGCGATACGTGCAGAGAGAAATGCACAGAAGAAGGAACGAATCGAGGCTTAGTGATCCAGCACCGTTGTAGAGTAATATGTACCTCCAAAGTCAAAGTAAGTCAATTCAAGGGCCACTGTGGCTGTATGACAACAGGATTTCGCAAAGATATCGGCATCTTTATAGTCCATCAATCATCAGATAACCCCTCTGTTAGCTTTAATGATTTTTTTTTGCATACTGGTAAGCGAAATGAACAAGCATAGAGGAAAGAATAAGACGTTTAAGGCAGTCCGATGACCCTGACCTTTCTTTCCTCCCACGCAGTGGGTTCACACGAACGAACGCCATCTGGTTACCTGAACAACAGACCAACGATGTTTGCTACTTCAATTACACGGTCCCAACTATGTGCCCTATTTTTGTGCACGATATTTATAATCCGTGGCCAAGCCCGTTCACGGCGACAAGACAGTTGCAACACGGCAACCTCGGCGTCGACTGTCACAATCTCTTCGGCAAATGGCCTATATTTAACCGTTATCTCTCTCCTCTTTGGTCTTGTGGCTACTCTCATCGTTCGATACGATAGGGCAGGCGAGAGTCGAGAAGATGATGATGTAATATGTAATCTGCCCCGATTCCGTTGTTTTTGCTACTACTTCCATAACTACAATGTTATGGGTCTGAGCCTCACACTTCTCTTTTGTCAAGAGATATGAGGCCTATGTTCATGCTTTCTCATGGATCAGGACCATGATACTTTTTCTCATGCATCGATTATTTGATCCTGGCTTGGTTGCATGGCTAGGAATTATAAAAGGCGGCCTTTCTTCCACTATGCAGAGAAAAACAACCTCTGTGATGACAGCCAATAGCACCCCAAAGTCTGCTTCCTCAGCCCTTCTGTGCAATAGTTCAAAATCATCTCTGGCTATTCCAACTTTCAACCTAGTACCTCCAGAAACATTGAGTGGCAAGGGAGCCCATCCTGTTCAGCATGTACAGTCATCACCCTCAGGATCAAAACAATCCCATGTCCTCTCAACCAGCTGTTGTCAGAGCACCTATGATAGCCAACATGTGGGGAATGGTTCTCTCCTCTATGCTTCAAATGCTCTATCTCCAAAGGCTTCTTGAGTCTCAACTGCCTCATCAAGAACTTCTATGAGGCAGAGAAAGGTGGGAGGCACATCTTCATCTATATCATCACCAAGAGTTGCTGAGACACCACTTCAAGGAGGCAGTTCTCCTGTAAATCCTGAACCAAGACATGAAGAGCCTTCTGAATGTATGCTATCTGTGAATCCTGCAGGAGATGATGATTTCCCTTGGCCAATCTATCTTATCCCATTCATAAACAAGGTGTCTATTGCTAGTCCAGTGAAAACTGGGAACATTACTCCATCCTGACTCAGCACCCAAGCAAGAGATATGGATTCAGAAATAGTGGAGAATGTATCAGCTACTCAGGGATCTCATTCTTCAGTGAGGACATTATCGATTATGACAAACTCACTGACTTGGATATCTTGGTCAAAATCATCTTATGACTATCAGGAGGATCAAGCAAATACTCATCCTAGATGTGAAATCCTCAAATCCCTATTGTCAGTATCATCCACTGTTTCTCAAATCTCTTCTATCACATCAAGGTGATCTGCAAATTCACAGGCTAAACAAGCTATTGCTGGTCCTGAACTATCACAAAGCTCTGACATCAAGCCTGATTTAGTGTCAGAATCTACATTGCTACTTCATATGGTCTCAGATACAGCTGTCTCAGATTACTCTTTAGCTGAAATATCACTCTGGAATTATGAACCACCACTGCTTATCTCCAAAGCAGCAGAAGATCACTGGCTATATGGTGGTGAGGATAGCAGAGTCATTCCAGTGTTAAACACACAGAGGTTGCATAAAAAGATATCCCACAGAGGCAATTGAAACCTGACATATCTATTTAACTTTTCCTCAACCCAAATGGTCAGAAAAAATAGGAGAATTTCTGGAGTATCTCACCAATGCTGCTTTCAGATCTATCTCTATTGGTGGGAGCAAACCTTCATTATTTTTTGAGTGTGGAGAGTTCTGTGACATCAAATATTTGTGTAGAATTGTTGCAGCATTTATGGATCCAGTGTATCTGCAGTTTGTTGATATTAAAATAGTGTCAGCAAATAGCCTGCAGAATGAGTCTCAGCATTTTCATTTCATTGAAGACATTTTGCTGTTTGAAGTGGAATTTCAATCTGTGGATGTTATTGCATATTTTCTGTGTTGCCTGCCATCCTTGATAAAATGCTCACTATGTGGGATATTTATTTCCTATGGAAGCCTGAACAGTATTGGGAACTGCTTTACTGAGGGTGACAAGTTGAAACTGACTAAACTGATCATATGTGCAGGAAATATGTGCAGCATAGACAAACTTGTGAAGCTTATGTTTTGTTCTCAGGGTCCAACTGATGATGCATCATTGTTTGATAAATTGGCAGTGGAATATTTTGAACTTAGTGTATCAGGGAGGCAATAGCAATGAACCCTACAACATCAGAGAGGTATGTGATGCCATGATCTGACCTTAGATGGACAGGTACATGCCTAGTTCCTTGACTGTGCATCATTTTGATATTGGTGAGTTTCTATTAGAATATCATCTTGGTCTTTAGATCTGCTCAAGTCTAAGTTATTTAGTATCCATGCTGAAGATCATCTCATTTGATAATCTCCAGGTTTTAAAGATTGTCATCCAAATATTGTTTTCACTCTTCCATTATTTGGCTTGGGAAGTACTGCACACTAAGGCTCCCAGTCTGAAACAGATTGAGCTCAATATCTGTTGAGGAAAATGCTCTGAAGATGAGAATGAATCTTCATACAGGAAATGGGTCCCAATTCTAAACTGACTGGATGACAAGTTACAGAATGACACATCTGTCTAATGGGCTACTATCAAAACCATGAGTTTGCAGTCCTGTAATATTCTGCCACATATCTATATTGTCAGAGATACATTACCAAATTTTATTATTAAAGAATGAGCCCATATATGACTCAGCAGAGTCAAAGTTCACATTTATCTTGTCATATATATAATCAGATGTAACTCCTCCATTCCTAAAACTGAAAAGTATAATTTGGCAATTGAGATAGTACAGCAGCTGGCATCTCAAAGTGCACTGAACTATTTCTATTACACATAGTAAGGAGAAGGTAGTAATAGGGGAGGGAAACACTTACTAAACAGCAACACTCTCTCCTTCAATAGTGTGTATCAAAAATGGATGCCATGTTAAGCAATTAATTAGTGGATTATGCCCTTTTTAGCTAGACCCACAAGTTATCAATCACTATCATTATAAAGAATTAGTATTACATTATATATCTATGCTTACTAACAGTATCATGCATGGTAGTTTTCACTTGTTATTCATCAGGACATCTTTTACTCTTTGACTACTATCTTGTACATCTGTCTTATCTAGTATCTACTGGATGACCTCTGCTCAATACACCCTATTTGCATGTGCATTTCTCTGGTCAACAGATCTCATGAGGTGTCATACCCTTTACAATTATAAATAGATTATGCTAAGATAACAAACACATTGTTAGACTCAAGTGTTATGTGGACAGATACATGTGATAAACAGAAGTCACCTTGCACTTTGGGTGATTGACTGAGTCCACTGATGCATATTCTGATCAGTGTGTCATAAGGCCTTTGGAGTTGGCTCAAGTATAGAATGATGTGTGAATAAACTTTAGCTCAAAGCTGGGGATTACCAGCAAAAGCAAGCTGTCTTAAATACTGTACAAATCCTGCTAATAATACTACTGCCTATTATATGTTTCTGAGTCCATTGTGCTCATAGTCCTGGAGCATTGTTACTGTACACAAAAGGATGATTGTGTATTATTGGGCAATACTGTTGTGTCAAAAGACAATGATGGACTGAGCTAGTTATGATGACTAAGCCTTATCCCACAGTCCTAAGCACCTTGGTTTAGCACTCTGACTAAGCATAAATAGGGGTTAAAAGAAGAAAAATCATAACATTACCCTCTCCTTAAGACCATCATCCTGATGGCTTAATTTAGAAATAATTTATAATCATGTATAGCTTCATCTGCATTCATCAACTTTTTGTTTACCCACTGGTTTGATTCTAATCCATAGCTCTTTCAGCTAACCAGATAGTCAACTGTTGTTGTCATGCCACCTCCTTTAGCTCTGACTTTTCATAGTTTATGATTTAATACCTGGTTGACTTCATAGTGTTCTTCATCATCAATGAAGTCTGGCAGTGGAGGTGATGGTCATTCTTGATTTGAGAATGTGGATGTGATGTATGGTGTCAATAGTGATTCATTGAAGACATCATAGACTTTTCAGGATATGAGAAGGTGTAATTTATATGCAGAACTGCCAATCTTTTTGATTATGGGGAATGGGCTGGTTCTTTTATCAGATAGCTTCTGTTTTGGCCAGAGAAGGTGAAGGTTGGTTGTGTCTAACCAAACCTTGTCATTGGGTGAATAGATGTGTGCAGCACAGCAGTATTTGTCATATTGCACCTTCATTGTTGTTGCAGCTGCATCAAGTGCTAGTTTAGTTTTGTTATGAATTTTTGTCATTGTCATGGTGAAATCTGAGGATGTGAGTGTTGTAGTATGATGTTGTTCTGTCTGGTTGACATTAGAGTGTCATCCATAGTTGACAAAGAATGGTGTTTTGCTAGTCATAGAGTGTATGCAGTTATTGTGCTAAAAAGTGGTGAGGGCTAGCCACTCCACTCAGTCATCTTGTCAGTAATTAATGAAGAGGCAAAGGTATTTTTTCACCTCCTGATTGGCCCTTTCCATTTGGCCATCGGTTTGCAGGTGGTATGCCATAGATATATTTTGTCAGATGTTTAGGAGTCAATAGAGGTTATCAAGGAATTTGGATGCAAATTGTGGGCCTCTGTCTGAGATGACCACTTGTGACATCCCATACTTCACATAGACCTCATTGACACACCCTCTCCATGTTCAGGCATGTAAAATTGCAAAAATTGTGAATACATGGACTGCATTTCAGTCCAGTAAGCATGTAACTGAGAATAAAATAAGAGCATATAGAAAC